GGCACGTCCTGCAATTTTGTAGTACCGGTGAGGCAGATTTTTTCTCCTCCCCTTCCTTAAAGTTGGGGTGGTGCTTTTTACAGACTCTCCTGCGCAGTTATGAGGCCCAGAAAGGGAAGGACTTGTATTCATCCTTCTTTTGTGGGACTCAACAGGTTTTTTGGTTATTATTTTTCAAACACTCAAAATAAGAGGATGTAAAATCAGAACATAAGTGGACTGGGGTGCTGAATCCATTCACTGTTGTATTTGCTTCTGGTTACTCTACCTACTTTTTGTGACCTAATTATAAGTTTTTTCTTTACCTAAGTTTTATTTTCCTCACCAACCTTCAAGTGGATTAACATTTCCACGAGGGGCATGTATAAGCAACTACTACAACCAGCAACTACTACAACCCAGTCACTTAGCCATACCTGCCTACCCATTTATTTTTCACTGTTTTGTTTTTGTTTAGGTTTTTGTTTAGGTTTTTTTTAATCTCTTTTGGTAAAATGCCTTCTTCTGTGACTGTATTTGAGTACACTTGAGAGGTCTCCATTTTGCATCTATTTTGTGCCCTCTGCCTTTTCATTTCATGCTCTTTTCTGACAAGCTCCTTAATTTTTAAAATATTGCACTTGCAAAAGTTTAGAGCCATGGCGCTAGTTTTGATATGATCCTTCCCCTCAGGATACATACATCATTTATATAGCATTTTCTTTTTGAAATTATTTCCTTGCTTTGCTTGAAAGGAAAGAGAAATGAAAGTGTCTCTGCAGGGCTGTACTGGGCTAGGTGTTTAAAAAAAATTATTACAGGTTTGGTTTGGGATTTTTTTAAGGTTTAATATATCAGTGCATTTCCTGTCCTGTCTTTGTCTCATATGCAAAAAGTGACAACATTAAAAGACAGATATTTGAAGTCACTTGTGGTACCTATCTGAGACTCAAGGCACACATTTCACTTGTTGAAAAGCTGCGCAAGTTTGCATTACCTCGGTTGAAGTGAGGTAATGGAATCACAGGTGGCTCCCATGGCTCTTTAAGGTTAGCTTAAACCAAAGTAAACAAAAAATCCTCCCATAAATCACAGCCAACTACATTCTCCCCAATTGGTGAAGATGCTTTAAATATCAGGAATGCTGATTCAGTTTTCTGACCCTAGCTGAGGAAGAATGAGGGAAAAGCAAATTGCCACGGCATAGGGAGCACCTGGCTACATTCTTCAGGGCCCTTCCTTATTTCCACTATCATGTAATAGCCACTCCCTAATCAGAAGCTGATTATAACTCTCTTCACAGTACATAGGAATTTTAATCTGAGATCTCACTACATGGTCCTCTTCATACGCAACAGAAGCGTGAAGATCCTGTGGTTGAGCAACACATGACCTGCCTGACATTGCATCTAACTTTTCTCTTAAGCTGAACTATCCCTTTCCTTGTTTTCTGCCATATCGTCATGTTTCAGCAAGTGTTCACAATGCCAAACTTCTTTTCCACTGCTAGAAGAGCTGGCTTGTCCATTTCTGCCTTATGTCTATATAGCAGCACAAGAAACATTTACAGATATTATTTTTGGCTATATGCTCCTCTTCCTCATTCCCCCTTCCAAGCACTCAGACTAATATCCTGTTGCTTTCTTGGAACATATCTGTATGATCTCACAGCCTACCCGTCCACCAATTGCTGAGGAAGATAAGTGCATGATCCAAAGACACCAACTGGCCAAAACCTGACTGATGCTTGTGGTATTTCTCTCTGGTAAATTTAATTCCTGCTTCCCTACCAGGAAAAACAGAAAAGCCTGAAAATATCTTCCTTTCTGTTGCTTTCTGCAGAAGTAGTACACAAGATACATCTTCTCTCAGCACCTCCCCTGGAAACCAGACTACAATACCAGAATCAAGTCCCGAGATGCTACTCCTCGATTCCTGGAAATAAGGGCCAAAACTTATGGGTAGGCACATAATGTAATTTGTCTTCAAAACAGACTAATAAAATACCATACTGCGTCAATTTTAGGATTTTTTTTAAGGTGCCTATCACTGTGTAATCTAAATGCCATGCAACAATTCTTGATAACACTGTGTGCCTTAAAAGGCAGTCGACTCAGCCTCCCTTGTTCATTGTGTGTCTATGCGGGAACTTTCCTTCTGCTTCCTTTCTTGCCTTTCACTTCCTCTCCTCCAGTTGTGAGTTGGTCCTGGCAAAGTGCCCTTACTGGAGGAATGCTTCATCAATATGGTGGGTAGCACACGTAGATCTGAATATGGCCAGGGCTGGAACCAGCCCAACACTGGCAATGATACATTCTGGGCCAATCAGTTTGACATGTTATAATTACCATAAAAGTACACAGTATTTATATTAGATAGTTATTATTTGTTAACCTAAAGATACACAAAATAAGGAAGGCCCATATGGACACACACTCAAATCACTCATAGAAATTAAAGCTCAAAATGACCAGTTTCAATGGAAAATGCCTACATGAAACTAGAAGAAAAGAGAAGGTGCTTCAGTTCAGGGCTATGCTGCCTAGGGGGAAACAAAGACAACATTATTAGATATTTAGGACTGCAGCTGGACAAAACACCTCAACAGATATTGCCTGTCATCCTAATCAATAAAACATAACACCTGAAAACCAAAGAGCAGCATAAAGGAAAAAAGCTTGGCTTGTGATAGCATTCTAGAATAAAAATTGGCTTGTAATGAAAGCCAAACAACAGCCTAGCACCCCAATTTTTAGTAACTTTTTTGGTTTTGAAAAATGTGTCTTCACCTGCAGCTGCAGTTGACTTATGGAGAGGGGTGGATAGCTAGAGGCAAATCTACCTTCATGGGTTACCTGCCAGAAAGGAGATAAAGCTTGGTAGCTCTCAAAGGATCCCTAGGACAACAAAGAGAACTGAAACATCTGACCGGTAAAACCAGAACCCTGCATCCTAAGTAGCTGCCAGCTGTGCTGTACTATTTCTGATGTGTATTCATTCCATTTTGAACGCCATTGGGTTACATGTGTCAATTACTATAGTCTCATACTTATTTATGTACAAATTTACATACTTTTTTTAGACTGAGGAAAGAAATCTATGGTTTTTATTTTTAATATGTTATTAATATTGTTATCAATTTATACTTTCAGCAAAGAGAAATCAAATTACATCTGACACTGTTGGACACGTGACTAACATGCCCCTACCTCATTCACCTGCCTTAATTTTGATATGATACAAACATTTACAAATGGCCTACTCAGTTGGAAAAAGCGTATGAAACCCACTGACATTAAGGTAAAACATTATGTTTCAGATTCTTGTACTTGTGGTTCTTTGTATCTATCCATAAGACTATAAAAAGGACGAGGGACCAAATACAGGCTGTCTAGTTTTGTACGATAATTGCCTTCACCTTAAATAGAGAGCAGTTTTACCAAAGACCACTGTGTCCATCATGTCCTGCACCAGTGGACCTCATTGACCGCGGAGACTTCAGATCTTATCTCCATAGTAAGGCTAAAGTAGGCTGTAAACTCTTACATTGTGTCAAGCAGCTCTGAGCCTGACTCTGACCTCAATGATGTCTATTTGAGTATTACTTGGTAATAATGATGGCATTAACCAATAATTAACACTACCTGTTAGGTATGGGTCTGTTTCAAGATGACATGGGCTCCGTTAATGAAGGAGTTTATGTTAGGTGGGGAGCATAAAAGAGCACTAGGGATTCTGATAACCATCAATTTGATAGCACACAGTGACAGTGGAAAAGTCCCTAATTTTCTCCAACATCCTACCTGCAACCACCTATGGAAATCACCATGCCTAAAGGAAGATATAGCCCTCAACCTGCAATTAATTATTCTAAAAAGGGGGGGGGGGGGGAAGCAGAGAACAAGAATTTCTGCAGAGAGTAACAGGGATGTCCTTTGCAAAGCAGAGGACAACTACAGGTCTCTGCCAGGGAATAGCAAGCTTTTAGGTGACGAGTGCTTCTGTGCAGGATGTCAACAACCAAACTAAAAAAAAATTTCTTATCATGTTGTGTTCCCATTCTTTCTACTCATCTTCTGCTCAGGATGGCCACCTGAGCACTCTAATCAACATGGAAGTCCAAGTCCTAAAAGGAAAAGCCACAAACATCAAACCTACTTGCAACTGATAAGGATTAGCATGATACAGCAAGGATGCCTGGGAATAGTGTATTGATCCACAGTAGGAGTGTTAAGGGATAAGACTTCACACTTTAGGGGGATGACTTCAGACCTAGCAAGGACCTGAAATACAGCAAAATCTGCTGTTGTGATCATGGTACAGGTACCATTTTTACGTCATCAAGCATGTTCTACAGCTTGCAAGACCAGGCACTTTGTATGTTGCAACCATGTAGTACTTCAGCTAAGTAGACAGAGAGGTTTTTTGCATTTTTATACTTCTCCATATCAACACAGATGTTGCTTCCCTCAAAAGGTCATCTTCAGTTTGAGCCAAAAATATAGGCTGAGTTAAAAGCATGCTTCAAACTTAATGGAAACATTTGAAAATAAAACATTATAGTATAATCTGTCATGTATTTTGTTTTGGATGCTTCACTCCAGAAGTGCCTGCAGTTAAAAGCTACAGTAAGAAAAACATTAAAACTGCAGGCCTGTCTATATCAAGTAATGGAGAGATCCCTGGCTAGTGCTGGCCAAGTTGGTATGCCCACTTAGTGTGATGCAGTGGCAAGCAGAGATACGAGCTGGCATCCTGAGAAGTCGCACTGCTGTGTTTGCACAGTGTCACTCTCAGCTCACATCCCTGCTTCTGGTGATTGCAGGTCCAGAACTTAAACCATCACAGACAGCTTGTGCTGCACCAAGTTAACATAACACAAGGCAGTTTCCACATTGCATAAAACAGGAAGGCAAGCAAAGGAAAAAAAAGTTATTTATTTTTCTTTGTAGGGTCTCTTTATTTAAAGGCATCATTAGTAGTACAACCAGGGAAATTTTGTTCTTACAAATGCAAATTAAATGAGTTTGTTATACTATCAGTTTTTGACTGATGATTCAAGTGTTTTGATCGTCAGTAAACACTTCCCTTACCTTCATATGTGATTTGAGATTGTCCTTGCGTGCACAGCGAAATGGACAGAGTGGACACTGATGACTTTTCAAACCTGTATGAATCACCATATGCCGTTTCCAGTAACTCTTCCTCTTGATAACCAAGCCACAGATCGGACACTGAAAAGGTTTTCCTCCTTCTTCTTCTGAGGCTTAGCAGAAGAGGGAAACAAAAAGAGAAGATCCTTTACAGCCACTTGACAAATATTTTCCCCTTATAAACATACTCAAGATATCATTTTTCAATGCTAGAATTTCATCTGCAAAGAGACACATCAGTTAAACAACAACATATACCAGAAATTTCAGTTCCTCCCTCCTGCATATCCCTTTTCCCCCTTAATCTAGTTATTCTCCCTCTAAGAAAGGTCACGGTAATTTATAAAGGTTAATCTTTCAAACATCCTTTGGCTAATCAGTAGGGGATGCTACTCTATCTCACCTGGTCCCAATGTTCCTTACAATTTAACTTAACTGAGATGGATGTCTCCCATAATCATCACTTTGCAGCTTCATATCATATCAAAGGCCAATCATAGTACAGTATGGAAAATATGCTTAACTGTTAAAAACTGATCTGTTTCCATATCTGATGGTCGGCCAGCAGAAGGGCAGGATATAAAGCATAGTACAATCCACAACTTAACCGAAAAGCATACTGGTATTGCATATCAGACATATTTAACTACAGAAGTGAGTGACTTCAGAACCCCTTCTGTTGAAATTGTTTATTTACGGCTCGAGCAGATGCTGCTGCAACTTCAGCCATCAGGGTCTTTGGGTCATGGGCTTTCTTCTGCTCCTGTAGTTGCCAAGGCTTCAAATCTACTGCCTTCCTAAATGTTTGCACTCTGCTTTATTCCCAAATTCACCTAAGATATGAAAAAGATTTGGTGGCATTTATCAGGCAAATATGGTCTGAGTCTACTGAGTATGGAACCATCTGAAGGTTAAAGGAAAGAGAAATTCCTTGCTGTTCACTTTGCTCAACTAACCATCCATTCATCCTCTCACCATGATTTCTTCTCTTTATTACAGAGAAAGGTCTAGTATTACTGTGGAATTGGAAACCTTTTTCCTCACTGTAAAAGACAGACTATTTTCAAATATCCAGAGTTCAGCAATGTGCATCCTGCTATTTGGAACTTCTCTCAGAACATTTAATCACATTATTATCAAGTATTTCATACTGATACGGATATAGCAAACATCAAATTCCCTTGATGAGGAATTAATTGATAAAAACCTCCAGAAAGATTTGTCACATCCTAAAATATAATTCTCACTATTACAGAGGAAACAAAAACACTATAATTCAACTGATTAGGTAGTCATTATGTAAGTACAAAAAAGGATATATTGTCAAGCATGCACTTCTATAAGTTCAGAAATTCTTCTTGTGAAATATTCTATCACGCTGAACATATTATCAAATTGTTCCCCTCTCTGCATCTCTAAAGAGTAAGCTATAACCAATCCTACAATAGCTTGTGTTTTAGTTTTTAAGTATCTTTACCTACTTCTTCACAAAAGGCAGGAGAAACACAAACCACAGAAAAAATATATTGGTAGTATTTTAACCTATAATTTCTTCTCCTTCTACCACCTCTTTTCTCCACCCTCACAAAGGATACAGAAATGTGGAACAAGCTATTACCTGTTTTCCACTCCATTTAAAATAAATCTGCAAACAGGACAAATCAATAGTAATTTAGCACATTACAAAATAAGCAAAAAACTGGACTGAATGCATGTAACTTCATCAATAACAATGATAATTAACGGTAGGCAGGAACTATGCCATTGCTCTCCAAAGCTGAACCATGTTAGCTCTTTACTATACTACATAACAATTCTCCATCAATTATCAGCAATCTTGGTTAACTGGGGAGGTCCCAGTTGACTGGGGGTTTGCCAATGTGATGACCATCTACAGGAAGGAGGATCTGGGAACTACAGACCTGTCAGCCTAACCTTGGTACCAGAGAAGATTGTGGAGCAGTTCATCTTCAGTGCACTCACATGGCATGTGCAGGACAACCAGGGGATCAGGCCCAGTCAGCATGGGTTCATGAAGGACAGGTCTTGCTTGACCAACCTTATCTCCTTCTATGACCAGGTGACACACCTAGTGGATGAGGGAAAGGCTGTGGCTGTTGTCTACCTGGACTTTAGTACAGCCTTTGACTCTGTCTCCCACAGCATCCTCCTAGAGTCGCTGGCAGCTCATGGCTTAGACGGGTTTACCCTCTGCTGGGTAAAAAGTGGCTGGACAGCTGAGCACAGAGAGTTGTGGTGAAAGGAATTAAATCCAGTTGGTGGCCGGTCACAAGCAGTGCTCCCCAGGGCTCATTTTGGGGCCAGTCTTGTTTAGTATCTTTATCAATGATCTGGATGACGGGTTTGAGTGCTCCTTCAGTAAGTTTGCAGACAACACCAAACTGGGTGGGAGTGTTGATCTGCTTGAGGGTAGGAAGGCTCTGCAGTTGGACCTGGACAGGCTGGATTGATGGGCGAGGTCAATCGCATGAGGTTCAACAAGGCCAAGTGCTGGGTCCTGCACTTGGGTCACAACTACCCCATATGATGTTACAGGCTTGGGGACGAGTTGCTAGAAAGCTGCCAGGCAGAAAAGGACCTGGGGGTGCTGGCTGACAGCAGACTAAATATGAGTCAGCAGTGTGCCCAAGTGGCCAAGAAGGCCAATGGCATCCTGGCTTGTATCAGGAATAGTGTGGCCAGCAGGAGCAAGGAAGTGGCCATGCCCCCGTACTTGGCACTGGTGAGGCCACACCTCAAATGCTGTGTTCAGTTTGGGCCCCTCACTACAAGAGGGACACTGAGATGCTGGAGTGTGTCCAGAGAAGGGCAACAAAGCTGGTGAAGGGTCAGGAGAACAAGTCTTACGAGGAGCAGCTGAGGGAACTGGGATTGTTTAGTCTGGAGAACAGGAGACTGAGGAGAGACTTTATCACTCTCTACAGCTATCTGAAAAGAGGTTGTAGTGAGGTGGGTGTTGGTCTTTCATCCCAAGTAACAAGCAATAGGACAAGAAGAAGTGGCCTCAAGTTGCACCAGGGGAGGGTTAGATAGGAACTTAGGAAAAATTTATTTATTGAAAGAGTGGTCAAGCATTGGAGCAGGCTGGCCCGAAAAGAGGTTGTAGTGAGGTGGGTGTTGGTCTCTTCTCTCAAGTAACTAGTGATAGGATGAGAGGAAATGGCCTCAAGTTGTGCCAGGGAAGGGTTAGCTTGGATATTAGGAAAAATTTCTTTACTGAAAAGAGTGTTCAAGCACTGGAACAGGCTGCCCAGGGAAGTGGTGGAGTCACCATCCCTGGAGGTGTTCAAAAAGCTTGTAGATGTGGCACTTGCAGACATGGTTTAGTGGTCATGGTGGCCTTGGGTTGATGGTTGGACTTGATCTTAGAGGTCTTTTCCAACCTTAATAATTCTATGATTTTATAAACCTCAGCATAAGAAAAACAACTGTGGGCTTCAGCTTTTCTTCATTTATATTGATGTCTATTTTATGTCATATGGTGTCAATTAGTTGGAAAG